CACTCTCTCACTCACACCTTGGTACAATTTAGAGTTACCAATCAGTCTAACATGCATGTTTTTGTCTGTGGGAGGAAACCGGAGTACCCGGAGAAAACCCACGCATGCACGGAGAGAACATGCAAACTCCACCCAGAAAGGCCCCCGAACCAGGATTTGAACCAGGGTAACCTAACCTGCTCGCTGAGAAGCAGCAATTCTGCCAACTGCGCCACCGTGCTGCCTGTTTCCATTATGAACTGGTAAATAAACACACATTTTAGTGTTTTTTTGTCCCCCATTGCAGAGCGAAGAGGGGAAATAAAATACCCTCTCTTCTTCCATTCATGGACAGATGTCCATCATGTTGTGAGCATGATAACTTAAAAATAAGTGAGGTACTGACTTATTTTGGTTTGTGTTTTCATTTATGTGTAAGAAAAGTTTCAAAATCCATGATGGCTGCCACCATTTAAGTATACAAGTGAGCATTGTGAGCTAAATAACTTAAAAATAAGAAGCATGCCGACTTCCATTGTGTTGTGTAGTTGCATTTAAGCATATGAGCGATCACTATCAAAAGATGGGTTGTCATATCAAAACCCAAGATGGCCACTGCCACATACTGTATATATGTAAATCGACCACCCCTGCCATTTGAGAAAACTATGCTTTCCATTTTTTTCATTGCTTAAAAGTATAGTTTTCTGACATGATTAGGGTTGCCAAGGCAACCATTGTCCACACCATGGCCCCACCATTGCACCTGATTAGTCACTCTGTGCTTCTAGAGACAGGCGAAAACAAAAACCTACCTGTTCTTCTTAAGGTTTACTTGCATTACCTGTTCAATTCCAGTCCAGAAAAACACTCATCTTGAAAACAAAAAAACATTTACTATTCAAACCCTTAGGAGCAGGGGACTTGTTAAATGATCTACTGTAATTTCTGGTGTAAAACCCGCTACTTTTTCCTCACCCTTTGTACTTCATGGCTTGTACACAGGAGCAGCTAATTCATGGCTTTTTTTGTTATTCTTTTAATTTTTTCTTTTAATTTTATTGCTGACAGGCTGCTGATCTCCCTGCCATTGAATAACATTTTCTTTTGATTTGTGATGTATGGATTGATACTAAAATATCGATTACTATCAGTACCAGAACTTTGTGCTATAGAATCGATTCTCAAATCAAACTGTTGTTACTTTTGATACTTCAGTCATTTCAGGTAATACATATAAACAGGAAGATAGAGGAAAGTAACTAAACTATTGAGATTTTGTCGTGGGAACTACTTTTTCTTCTGTTTCGGCCTATAAGTCGCAGTTTTTTGCATAATTTACATGTCCTGTGACTTATAGGCCAAAGCGACATATTTATGGATTTTTTTCCCATATTTATAAACCATTTTTTGGCTGAGATATGACTGTTTCCATTCATTCTGACTGAAAAAAGAGCAGTACCACTTTCAGCCACTTGGTGGCAGCAGAGTAGTAATAGAGTATGGCATGTCGTTGGCTGTTGTATTGTGTAATAGGTAAATGTGGCTATAATGACAAATTCAAAAAGTTCAAGACAAAAACAATTGGACTTTATTTATTATACTATACTTTATACTTTATTGTTTTTTTCTTGCACTTTTTTGAATTTACCATGTCCTGGATGACTGAGAATCTTGGCCAGCTTTTAATGACTCAATCGGCCTGCCAGAGTCTCCCCATCTTCATTCTGCTTCCTGCTTGGAACCGTCAAAACAGCTGCACCACCCCGGCGAAATGCAGCTAATTTTACCATTAAAGTGCATTTATTGAGCAAATGTTGGACTGAGACACACCTTTATTATAATTTCGAGCAAATAAATAATTGTTTAGGTGCTTTTCTTGTTAAATTTCGGAGAATCGAGCCGCGTTCCTCCTTCCTTTTTCTCGTTCTCTGCACATTCACGGAGCACCGAGGCAGCAAAACTATTTTTTTTAATTCAGCTGATTTGACCCTCAAAACGCATTTATTAAGCAAATGTTAGACTGAGACACACATTTACTATCATTTCAAGCAAACAAATAATTTTTTTTAAGTGTTAATCTTGTTAAATTCTTGTTAAAGTCCTCCCCTGCACACTCCTGCAGCCGCCATTTGGCAGCCTATCAGTTTTTGGCACAACACCGGTCCACATTTCCAGGTTGTCAGTGGCGACGCATAATAGATGCAACGTATACGGCAAAGCGACATATTTATGGATTTTTCCACTTTATTAGACAAATATGGACTGATGCAACTTATAGGGCGGAGTGATGTGTACGGCGAAAAATATGGTAATAGTAAGCGCAGCGGAATGCTGCTCAGTCAGTCTCAGTCTGTAGACACAATAGCGGAGCATAAATAAATGGAGTCGTGTGGAGCTATTTCAGCTCCAAAAACAGCCAAGAAGCAGTTTGTGAGGTTTGTGGAAAAACGATAAAGAGCTGTGGCAACACAACAAACCTTGTAAAACACCTCCAGTTAAACCACAACACAGAATATGAAGCATTGATGAGGCGGACAGAAGTGTCAGGTGCTGCTGCTCTGGAGGAGTCCTTCAGTGCTGCAGGAACTATCCAGGTACAGAGGGAGGAAATGTGGAGCTACAAAACATTGCAGTTGGTCAAAGTAGTTCAAAGTAATAAATGTGGTCATGAAATAATTAACTAAATAAATTCATGCTTCAACAAATAGTGTATGAGTTCAGTTTGGAGTAATTATAATTAATTAATATGTGCATCACTGAGATAATCTCACATGGGCAAAAAAGTCTAGATTTACTCAGGTAAGGTTTCCTAAAGAATAGATCATTTAAAGTGGATTACATGGACCAGGTGTCATCAGATTATACAGAGCAATGGTGATAAAACAGTCTTGGTGAACTCTGAAAAAACATACTACAAAGTATGGATAAAAATATAACATATCTTAAAAACATATCACTTATTATTTAATAGATATTTAATAATTTATTTTAATAGTTTTATGATTTTCTTTATTTTCTTATATTTAGTGTTTGAAACTCCATTTTCACATATTGTATCCTCTGCTGTTGTATCAGCTCAGTTCTATACGAGGACACTGCATCAACAGACTCCTGAGTTTAAAATAGATTAATTAATTTGGTGTCTTGTATTCTTTATGCAGCTTTGATTTGCAATACTGTACCCAGCTTATTTTTAGGATTACCAGGCATGTTAGGTGTATTTGCACAAAGTATTCATATCACCAATCCTAGCCTAAATTAAATTCAGTATCAATGAAAATCCTGATATTGAACATTATTTTTGACACACCTGGACACTCATATATATATAGTCATTCAGCACACGTGCACACCTTCCACTTGAGAACAGGTCATTGTGATGCGACAGGTATTCATGACAGGTACTTCTCACTCATGGTTCCAATTTTGCTACTAAATACCCACTTTGTGGCCATGTGACCAGAAGTTACCCTATTGACCAATGAGGTACTTTACTCTCACTGAGTCACAAGAACACACCCACAAGATAGACATGCATTGATCAGATCGATAAATAACATTATTAACTGACTGACTACTTTTATGGATATTAACATCCATCCATCCATTCGTCCATCAGGGCAGAACAACTCTGTCGCTTTCAGACTGAAGAAACAGTTTTACTTTCACTCAAGTGGAAAATTCCATCAGCCATTTATTTTTACCAGCCATGTTAAAGGCATTGTTCAAAAATCGTTTTACATCGTACGTAGCCTATTTTTGTGTATGCTACTGGTACATATTTAAATAAAAGTTTAAAAAATCTTTCTGTGTAAGGTAAATATAGCTCACAGCGAGACAGAATAGGGGGGGGGGGGGTCCCCCTCTCCCCGTGAGTCTTGACTTGTCTGCCGGTAAAAAAAAAAGGGTTTGTAAACTCAAACATCCAGGTAAATAAATACAAAAAAGGTTCAATCATATCATCTGGACAAGTTTCTTTTTTGGGAGATCCACATGTGTGCACCTGAACGACAACCTCAGCTGGAGCAACAACACCACCAGCCTGATCAAGAAAGCTCATCAGAGACTCTACTTCCTCAGGCAGCTGAGCTGGTCTGTGAAGTTCAGTCCTCACCTCCTTCTACAGGTGTGCAGTGGAGAGCATCCTGTGCTCCAGCATCAACGTGTGGCATGGAGGCTGCACAGCTGCAGAAAGAAAAGCTTTGCAGAGAGTGGTGAAGGCTGCACAGAAGATGTTGGAGTCAGCCTCCCCACCATCACATACATCTACACCTCCAGATGCAGGAAGAGGGCCACCTGCATCATGAAGGACCCCACTCACCCAGCACACACACTTTTTGCCCCGTTCCTCTCAATAAGGAGGCTGATGAGCATTAAGTGTAGAACCACTAGACTGAGGAACAGCTTCTACCCTGAGACTGTTAGACTCATGAATCTCTAACCAGAATAATCACTGTGAAAAAAAAATCACATCATGTTGCTGCTGATCTGTTTCATGTTGCTGCTGATCTGTTTCATGTTGCTGCTGATCTGTTTCATGTTGCTGCTGATCTGTTTCATGTTCTGTGTTCATTCGTACTCACCTGCTCACACAGACTCATGTTCGTGCTGCTGTTCGGCGTATTGTTTTTATGCTACTGGTGCTTAGTGTGTTTTTAGTTAACGTTTGTCTTAGTTCATATTTTAGATCTTGTTGCTATTTTTCTTTTACACACATTTTAATACGTTTGTTGGATGTAACTGGGACCCTGTGTGCACAATTTCATTCCACCACATGCATCACATGTGGTGGAATGACAAATAAAGGACCTTGAATCCTTGAATGTGTCAGAGAGTGGGTCATCATGAAGACCTGTGACGACCAGTCCGTGTGTGGTGAAAAGCAAACAAACGTCTATGAAACACCATCTGGTGGTTGATAGTGCAGCTTTTGGATGTCACTACATCACACATACCTATTGTTTGAAAGAAATAATCAACTTGAGTGACTGCTCTGACCCTCTGTTTCTCACCCTTAGGTACACCCACGCCCTCTACCTCGGCGCCCAGTGTCGATGGCACAGCACTGGGCCGCGTCGTCACTTCCACTGGCGGCTGATGTTTGAGAGCGCTGATATTACAATGCTGCGCCTGTTAGAGGCTTTTCTGAAGTCTGCTCCACAGCTGGTGCTGCAGCTGAGCATCATGATTCATGGAAACACTGTCCTTCCACTGCAAGGTTAGCAACCAGCTGATCCTCGCTCATAACCCAGAAAAGAGTCATCAACAAATATTTTAACATATGAATGTTGCTAATATTCATGAAGATGATTTATGATCACTTATTTAAAAAGTCCACTTTTAAGAGCTATAAAGTGTTTGTATAACCAAAGCAAAAGGCAGGATAAACAGCAGGGAATAAACTTAGAAACATTTTTGTGAGAGGAAGGGGTCTCTTTTAAGCAGTTCTAGAACAAGCCTAGTTTTATGACCCTGCTCAGCCAGGAAAAGAAGGAATTCATATTAAACCAGGTGGAAATGGTTTGAAAAGTAATTTGTTGCTCAGTCTTTTGAGTTTTAACAAAAGTTAACAACATGAGGAAACCAATTACTAATTGTCCCTTGTCACAAAACAAAAAGAGGGGATTGGAAATACAGTTCATATGTTTGTACATGTTGTGAGCATGATAAATTGAAAAATGAAGGAGGTATTAGCTTTCATGAAGGTTCAGTTAGGATAACCACATTACTCCAGGGCCAGTCTTGTTTGGGATTTCTCCTTCTGCCTGGCTCCAGAGTTAGAGGGGACACTGTCTGCTCTATGGTACAGAGTCCTGATGACTCCTAACTTGTGCTCCAACGGGTGATGGGAGTCAAGCCTCAAGTACTGGTCTATGTGGGTGGGATTGCGGTACACATCACTTTCCAAATGTCCTCTATGAGAAACTGAAAGCAAAGAAGAAACTCAAGCAGGACTCCAGCCAGCCATCAGGTGAAAAGAGGACCCCAAACCCAGACCAGTGGTTATTCCATATGCAGCGGGAGTTTCAGAGAAACTGAGATGTTTATTTTCTAAACATGATGTCTTTCATACACCAAAATACATTACGGCAAAGACTAGTTCATCCCAAAGATCCGGTGTCCTAACACAGAGTAATACTAGCTATGTTTACATGAACATAAGTAATCGGATTAAACGGCCATTCGGAATAAAAACGTGTCATGTAAATGCCCCATTGGGTAGATTCAGCTCGATCTGAATGAATTTGTAATCCGAATGATAGGGGTGGTTTATGCCAATTCATAATCCAAATGGTGTGCATGTAAACACTTAATCTGATCATTTTATTCCGATCGTGGAAAACTGAGCTGTCTGCACATGTATGATCTTTGTCAACCTCACGTGTTTCTGCCTGGCTAGATGCTAATATGTTGGGGAAGAGAAACTGGTCGGTGAGCGATACAACGTTTCTACTATAAACTTTGAGAAGAGCTCAAAATGATCTGTATTCCCTGTAGCTCAGTCAGGGAGCGCAGTAACGTCTCCACCGTCATTAAAACCTGGCGCGGGTTCATTTTGGGCACTTGGGTTTGTTTACGTTCATCACGGAAGTAGAACTTCGGCTTCTGTGTTTTTTTTAAGGAAAGTTTACCACTCTGCGCATGTCAGTACTTCTATTCAGAATAAAAGCCCGCTGCATGTAAATGCTCGTCATGATTCAATTGTGACCATGTAAACGATACATTAGGATTATTAATCCGAATACATTTCAATCCTATCAAATAATTTTGCACATTTAAACAGAGCTATTATGTATGCTGTTCAGTGCCAGGAGGGCTGTGATCTGTTATAATTCAGGGAAACAAAACAGCCACTGGCCAAAAGGATGGCCCAACACAGAAGAGCAACATAATCAGGCCAGGACTCTGTGGTCTACACTCATCTGCAGGCCAGCGGTCACTCTTTCAGGGATTAAGATGTGCACATCCTTGACAGAACTGAAGGCAGACATGTATTCAGTAGAGTCAGCCTGCCCAAAACAATTGGTGTTCATCTGAAGTTGGCCCCCACGCTGGCCTTGGATAGACCAGCTTATCTCAAATTGCTCCTGGAGGATAGGTAAAAGAAGAAGCTCTGATATGCCCCCTAGTGCTAGAGGTAGTGCTCTGAAATATAAATGAAGTTTAGACAATTGTTTTTAAAACTAAAACAATGGGTAAAATTGGTTTCTCATTCAAGTATCGACCGATTTCCCAAAATTAAGGAAATCGGGGCCGATAATTTGGCCAGCCGATTTATCGGTGCACCCCTAGTTGCAAGGTCTTTTTTGCATCTTTTACACGGTGCCCCAGCCAGGACGTGGTGTGAGACATGATCATTTTTAACTTCCTCCACCCTCGTGTTCTCTTTTCCTCATCTACTCTGTATGTTTTATGTAACAAGTCTCTCTTGTAAATGAGTGCCTGAGGCTCAGTGGGAACTAACCTGTGTAAATAAAGGTTGAACGAATGAATGAACAGAGAAAAACATTGGTTTGAGAGAGGAGTAAAGGAAGCCATCTTTGTGAAAAAAAAAACTCATTCACTGTCAAACAGGCGGAGGCCTCCTTGTTCATCTGTCATCCTCTTACAATGCTGGTACAGTATTGCAAGTATCACTCATCCCTTTGTGAATAGCAAGTGGCCATTAGGGCACTAATGATCCGTCATTAGGCTGATGGTCCTCCTTTTGCATGTGAGCAACTATTTTTGGCTGTCACCAGCAAACTGGTTGATCAACCATGAGAAGGTACTGCTTATAAGACTGAGGCCCTGTTCACTTTAAGTAAATTGCAATGGTTGTTTTGCATTGAGTTAGATGATGTTCCAACCGGGCAGATGGTTTGGCAAAGTGCAGTTTTCACTTAATTCCAAAAATCAGGAAATGCAAAGGACCTCTAACAGAGGAGATGAGTGCAGAACATCGTCAAGTCTGGCTTGGAAACATCAACCACAAGTATCTGCCTTCAAAAACATGAAGAATCCTCTTCAAACACTTCCATTCCGGTAAACAAAAAATTCTATATTAGTTATTTTGCTAAACAATGTCAGAATATAACTGTGTGCTGGAACTACTCTGTTCATGATTTAGCACGTCTCTACTGTAGTTAAGCTCAGCTATGCTATGTGCTAAACCTTCACACTGTAACACGCACAGCAACAATGTCCTGGGTTCTAGCCCTGAGTTGAACCTGGGCTCATTTCATTAGGAGGTTGCATGTTAATTTTTTTGCTTAAACCTTTATTTAACCAGTTAGATCTGACTGAAACTTAAAAATCTCTTTTTCAGCATAGACCAGGTCAAGAATGGCAGCAGCACACTAACACTGCCAGTCATAAAACTAGAGCATCTTGTATCTGCAAGCTATGAGGGACATGTATGTGTATATTATTGTAATTAATTACTCTGTCAGTAACCAGAACTTTGTTATTCACATTGTAAGTTTGAACATTCTTCACAAATCCTTTAAAATATTGATTGTACACATCCATGGATTTCAGGCTGCAAAGCTCATTCATTGTGTAGGCGCTCCTCGTGTGCACTAAATAATTAACTATATCATCGTAAGAGCTCAGTGGCAACTTGTCCGTGTCGTCCGACATGTCTTTCTCTACCTCATATGGGTCAATTCTGACAGCAGCAATTTTCTGCATATATCTTTCTCTTGCACATTGTTCAAGAGTATCAATATACTTTGCTTTGGTTTGTCTGAATGCCATCGTCTAGCACTTGTCTACAAAAATGGTGGAAAAGTTGTATTGCACAATACCGGTTGAGTGTGTGGGAACTATTTATTGTTCCTCTGCGTGAGTGGCTGACAATTTTGTTTCATGCTGACACACACAACAAACTGTTCATCCACAGTGTCCTTGCAGCTCTCGCAGTATTTATTTAAAAGGAAATATGCAAATATGACATGGGATAATTTTTCTAGACTGATGACCAACGGTCTACTCAGGCATGAAAACCTGGCCTTGAGCCAGTCAAATGTGCACTCTATGACCGTGCACGCCCTACAAAAACAAAGTCCAATATGTTGTCCCTGTGGTGTAGATCCACCATTCGAATATTCCTTCATGAAGTATGGTAGCAATGGCTAAGCAGGGTCCCCTAACAGAAAAATTGGAATGGGCTCCTCACCCTCCGCAATCTGCCTTTCCAGTCCAGGGATTTGTCCGAATTTTGAAATACTTGTTGATATTTGAGTTTGCAAAGACACAAGTATCATGGACGCTCCTGGGCCACCTCACAACAATGTCCCTAAATCTATATGTATAATCCCACACAGCTTGGACATTCAGTGAAAATTTACCCTTCCTGTTTACAAAGTCTGTGAAGGCTGTTTTATTTCAGTGTGTGTACCATCTATGGCTCCTAAGCACTGAGGCATACCATGTGCTGCATGAAACCCATTTACTAATGCCTGGGCCTCTGGCTTGGTGAAAGGTAGCTGATTGTATTTGGGTCCAAGATGAATGGAGATGGCACAACAAACTCTCCTGACAACGATTGGTACTGTTGATCATGACTAACCAAAAGCATTTGCTGTTTTTAGTCTGCCCTCATCAATTTAGTACAGATTACATGTCACCTTTGTTAGCATGTCGACAGGTGACCTCATGTTTGTCACTTGGCCCTCAATGCAAGGACGAAGTTCTTTGACTAAAGCCGTTAGGGACACTTTGGCCATACGAAAATTCTCACTCCATTCTTGTCGACAACATTATTTACAAAGTTATGCCACCACTTGCTTGTCCTCCCAGGCCTCATCCAGTAGCATCTCTTAGCCCTCCTTGTTCACCTCACAGACTTGTTTAATACATAGTGACTTCGAACTCGATCCAACTGGCGTCTCCGTTGAACACAGATGTTGGCCATAGCACCTATATTCCGACGTAGATTAACTACAAGACCCATAATACATTTCAGCAGTTGTAGCATATAAAACAGTATATTACACTCCAGCACCATTGTTGTTGATAAAAGTATGCTGTTTGGCCACACATGGGTGAAATATACACTTGTAGTCCGCATGTGCATGTGTGCATACCACACTAGGGAGCATTTCACACCTCTGTGTGGGGTTCCTCTGAAAATCTCCACCCTGAGACCTGGATTCAGAAGCCTTGTTTCAGAGAGAACGAGGGACGCTGTTGTGTAAATGAATGACCAAACCATTATGGAAGTCATATGGTCCCAAAAAGCTACACTAACTTGTAGAACAAGATTTTTATGCATACATAAGATCCACAAGCATACTTATGTATGCATACAAATGTTGTTGTACACATACAAATCGTTGTACGCATACAAATTTTGTTCGATGAGTTTGTGAATATTTTTGAGACCATATGACTTGCATAGACACACACCTATCTCCACCTTCATTTGCCTCACTCTGAGACCTCAAGAACGGCCCTTAACACCCCACTACCACCACCAAATCATGAATGCTGACTCAGCATATACACAAATACTGGCTTACCTGTTACAGATGTGGTTATCTGTAGGACTATGTCTTCCATCATCTAAGCCTCCATCTGTTTTTGCATTGCCTTTTTCCCCTCACAGTTTTTCCCTCTACACTTCCTCTTTCTCAATAGGCCTCTCAGCTTCAGCCTCCCTGGTTTCCCTGGCCTGGATGATTGCGTCCTACCAGAAAGTTCTCCGGGAATCCCGTGATGATAAGCTGCCCATGTCCTACAAGGCTGTGATTGCCCAAATGTTGTGGCACTTCTTCACTATTGGGGCAAGGACTGTGGCTTTCGCCCTCTTCGCCTCCGTCTTCCAGCTCTATTTTGGCATATTCATCGTCAGCCACTGGTGTGCAATATGTGTATTATTAGCCTGTTTTTCTACTTTGTTGGGTCTATAGTACAAAGTTTTCTATGACAACCCCATTTCTGACAGACTGCACTTAACTTTATTGGTGTATTTTAAACCTCAAAACTCCCCATTCATAGGCCATGGAGGTAAAATTCTTCTAGCAGCCCATATTGTTTCATGCACATTTTTTTGTTCTCCACCTCCACCCACATCTTAGCTTCTTCAGCCTGCTTTGTACCCACCTTGGCAACTTTATCCACATTTATAAATACATTTCATGGAGCACGCCTTTGAAATAACTGGCAGATTTGAACCAGTTTTGCTTTTTAAATCGATGTTAGATCTGATTGTTTAAAGCTTTAGCATGAGATGTTCTGAAGGCATCAAAAAACAACATTAGCACTCTAGAATTACAGAAACAAAATTGTAAAAGGTTTTTGCACAACTAATTTCCTCTTAAAATAGCCAAAATATTGTCATGGGAGTGTCAAACCCATGCCAAATACAGAGCTATATTTTAAAACCTGCAAGGGAGCTCTCCTTATGACAGTAAACTTCCAAGGGAATGTCCATGTCCTGAATGTCCAAGTCTACCAACACTGATGCTTCACAAGTCTACTAAAACATAACACCCAGGAAATATAGAATAAATCAATGGAAAGGTTTGACACTGTTAGAGAAATCCTCTTACTAAAGCCGCTTACTCAAAAGAATTACACACACGGCAGGGGAAAATTTATATCCAACACTTACTTACTTGCAAGGTCAGATTTCAGGGCAGGTTCCATAAATATACACAAATGTATACACGTGAAGACCAGTCAGAGAAATAAGCCACGGGCCTCATTATCTGCTCGCTTCTATACCATTATCTGTTTAACAGAGTTTGTTGTAGTTCATTGGGTGTTCTTGAAGCCAGCTGTAGTCTCACATGGCACTCTGGACCTACACAGATATGGTTCATGGGAATCCCTTCAGTTCCGGATAAGAGAGTGTTTTGGAACACAATTTGGTTGTTTGCTCTCAGGGCAGAGGGAGAAGAATGTTAATAACAAAACATCCATAACCTTTGACCAAAAATTACTTGACAGAAACTACAACCAATGAGTACCCAACCATTCCAAAACTCCGGGAAAAATTGACTAAAGGATGTAGACTGCAGAAAAAAGAATGGCATGCCGTGAATGAGGCAAAACCGGTGTCTGAAAGACCAGAGCTGACTTGAAAAAATAAAAGCTTGCTAGGAATGAAGCCTGTGATTGCGGTCACCAAGTCCATAACGTGGACCATCTTTTAACATCCTGCTCCTCAGGTCCGGTCATATAATAACAACAGAGCAAAGACATGGCTGTCTGTGTGACGCAATATGATGAACACTGAAGAAATGTGAAAATATGTAATAATTAAACCTTGGTGACATAGAAGACTGTCCTGAACCTCTCCACAATGTGCCACCATTTAAAAGCCACCAGTGGACTGTCAGGGGATTTTTGGTCAAGGTTTATGGATGTTTTTCAACTACTATGGCTGAGTGTTAACTCCTATGAACCATGTGTTTGAGTTACCAGCTGAATGAGGAGCTGGTATGATCCTGCATGTGTAGCTGGGTGGCCAAGGCCATCAGTGTCTGCCTGTGAGCTGAGAGCCCATAAGTCTATAAAAACAATTCTCGCACGTTGCCCGTGGCAGATTCTCATGACTGGGCTCCATGCATGTAAAAACTTCTGTACATGTGTGTAACCTGTTGTGAAAGTCTGCCCTTGCAAGTAAAAATAGTTCAAATCTTCTCCTGCTGTCGAGTGTGGCTCCTTTAAGTAAGTAAGATAAAGAGAGGATATCTTTATCAAACACTGAACTCTATTTTTGAGTTTGTGCTTGAGTAAATTGTAACTTCACTGTATACTGTTTACAGATGTAGGTTTACTTGAATATGGACCTTGACATTATTGCAACTTTTCCCCAATCTTCCTCAGTCACATACTGTACCTCAGAAGAAGCTTAACCAGTCTGCTGTCTTTGCTATGTCTCTGCCACCCCTCAACTTCCTTAAGCAACCAGACTTTTCCTCAAACATTGCTCCTGTAAACCCCAATCTTAAATGTGTGCATTTCAGTCTTAGGATGATGTCATCTACAAGAGCCCACAAAGTTAAGACACTGATGCATCGTCAGAGCTACAGTACACCCTGCCCCTCGTCCATATGAGTATGTTCAAGCTACTTCAAGCTTCACAGATTCTGTTCATATCTCTCTGCTCCATCTTTATCTATAAATTTTATATCCCAGTTTCTTCTCCACTTTCTCTCTTAATCTCTTAATTCTCTTCTCTCCTTACTCAACAGCCTTTCCATCAACATCTGTTCCATCCCTCCTAATTGATCGTTTCTTTTCTCATCTTTATTTGCCCTTTTTCTTGTATCTTCTCCAACCCCTCCTTTAAACTCATTTGTAATCCTGTTTCCCTTCTCTCCACTTTTTTCTTGCTCCACAACTTCCATCTCATCATCTGATCATAGAAAAAAACAACTAAACTGATGCAACCAGAACAAACAAAACACGCAAAGCACAACTAGCTTTAAGCTTACTGGACTGACTGACAGATGGCGTCATGTCATTTCTACTCTGGCTCTTGTTTACTCCGCTCCAAAAGTCTTCACGACACACACTAACCTTGTTTCCCTCTTGCGTTCAACTTCAGCTCCATCAACACCCACAGCAATACAAATTATCACTGGATTCAAAATCTCAGACCTAAATTTCTCATGACTTTTGATCCTTTTATTTTATATTTAGCATCTCTATCAAAACATCATCCACCAAAAAATGTATTCATGCTATCATTAGCTGCATGATTACTTTTCAGTCATCAAGGATTTAGCAAATCCGCGCATTTTGTTCAGCCTGCACAACAACCTGCCTTCGTTAGTGAAAGAGCTATATTGCTGAGAGTTGGCAAATCAAATCAGGCTATCCTGTGGCACACTGCTTCATTCTGTCCCCTTGTAGATGAATCCTCCCTTCACTCTTCTCCTCGAGATCCTTCTAATCTTACTAAATCACTTACCTTCTCCTCTCTCTCACCAAACTAAGACAGTCATGGTTGCTCCTTCCTTTTCCTCAGAAATTAACCATATGTAGCAATTCAGTTTCAAAGTAGATTTCTTTATTTCTGCAAGCTCTTTAATTCAATTCTATTCTATTCAGTTTATTTATATAGCACCAAACCACAACAAAGTTGTCTCAGGACACTTTACAGGAACATCCACATACATAAAAGCCAATTAGTAAAGTTCTCTATCTAAGGAGACCAGCAGACAAGTTGAATCTTAACACTTGCCCTTTTCTGGAACACTGCTCTGCCTTCCCTCAACATCCCACCAAACCCCTCAGCAGAAACCATTTGGTAACTGTATACTCTTAACATAAATCAACCCTCCTGCTCCTACCTCTTTCCTGAAATCTCACTCCGGCTCCAAGATTTCTTTATCTGCTGCAACTTCTTGGGCTCAGTCAGCTTCTACTACAAAAAGCTAACTTGATTGAATATTTTCAGTTGTTACACAGAGGAGGAGGTCTCAAATTTTAGCTTTCTAAAACTTACAACGGAGCATTAAGACTTATGCCCAGTCATTTTTCCTTTAACTCACACATTCGTGCTACTGACCATAACACCCTGATGCATGCTGAATAATCCAGGTAGATAAATCTAACACAGTCTGAGGAGCTGCAAGCAAACTCGGTCTAATAAACAGCACCTTCTGACAGTGGATCAATCAGGATTATTGAGCATGCATCAGAATGTCAATCAGTTTGCTGGTGACAACCAAAATTAGTTGTCCACATGCAAAAGTAGGACCATCAGCCTAACAATTGACCGTTAGTGCCCTAAAATTTAATTGTTAGTGTCCTGATGGACACTTGCTATTCACAGAAGGCTGAGTGATACTTGCAATAGCAGCATTGTAAGAGGGGGGGACCGTTGAATAGCCAGTCATCGGGTACAAAGGAGTACCCCAAACCCAGATCCAGACCAGTGGTCATTCTGTATGTTACAGGAGTTTCAGAGGAGCTGAGATGTTTATTTTCGAAACATGATGTCCCAGTGGCTTTCAAACCCCAAAATACATTATAACAATGACAAGTTAGTTCAAACAAAGATCCAGTCCCCCGGCACAGAGTAATGTTGTGTATGCTGTTAAGTGCAAGGAGGACTGTGATATAAACAGACACTGGCCAAAAGAATTTGCTCAGCACAGAAGATCAACATCATCAGGCCAGGACTCTGCGGTCTACACTCATCTCCAGGCCAGCAGTCACTGTTTCAGGGATGATGTTCACATCCTGGACAGAGAGAAACTTTGGTTTGAGAGAGGAGTGAAGGAAGCCATCTTTGTGAAGAGAACTCATCATTCATTAAACAGCGGGGTAGGCTTCCATGTTCAACTGTCCCCCGCTAACAGTCCTGTAATTGTAAGTATCACTCAATCCTCTGTGAATAGCAAAAAAGTTCAGTCGTCATCTGGATGAGGTTCTTTAAGTGAGAAACGTTTCGTCTCCCATCCGGAAGACTTTGTCAGTCTGCGGCCTGCCAACCACATCTGTCCTATAGGTAGACTTCACTGCTGTGTTTCAAGCCAACCTCTTGAAATCTCAGAAGCAGGCTTTTAATACATGCAAACAGGGCCCATCTGTCCAAAACTATCAACCATCATGTACAACAATCAAATGTTTTAGGTCAGATAGCCAACTTGCTACTCACAGAAACAGCCTGAAGACAGCCAAGGTCAAAGTGGTTCAGAAAAATGATTGAGCTTACAAACCTTTCTCTGTGAATAGCAAACAGCCACCAGTGCATTAAGACTGGTCGTTAGGCTGATGGTCCTCTTTTTGTATGTGAACTAGGTTTGGTTGTCACAACAAACTGGTTGATCCACCATGAGACTGTTTGTTGCAGCTCCTCCCCTCACCCCACCACCCACCCCTCACATCAACAAATGCCAGCTAATCTAGCCTGCAAAGCAGAGGCGTCTCCCCCTCCACCCCTTGTGAGCGCCCTGCCAAGGCAAGCGACCGAGGGGAAACACTGCATGTGGTGTGGAGTTGTAAGTGAACAGAAAAGCTTGGAGTGGATTTCAGTTGTTTGAGTATTCTCCTATTAATCAAGTGGAATGGATTCATTCACAAAGAAATAAAAAGAGTGCAGGGTGAACTAATATTTCATGGTAAAGTCAAGATTTAATAAAATAACTTTTACTGTAGCCATCTTTTGGTTGATGCTTTGTTAATTTAAACAGAAAGCTGCTCTGAATTCCATACCCTACCATTTTATTTATAGAGCACTTAACACAGCTACAAGGCCAACCAAAGTGCTGTACAGACAGAACAACAGGTAACACACAAAGCAAAATACAAAATGAAGTAAATCACAATCAATTCCATCTCACAAAAATAGAGTCACTGTCTCCTGTGCCCCCAGTAAGTTTAGTCTGCACCAGCAAAGTGAAATTATGAAATCATTAATTTTGGCAGCTAGACTACAGCTAAAATATGACCAGATACACCGAATGCTCCAGTCTACAAGCAACTCATACCACTGCTCTGACATGTTAGACCTTCACACCCTCCTCATTCTCTTTCTTCTCCTTGTTTCTTTGTCTTTATGAAAGTTTCCATAAACTCGAGCCAAACAACCTTAGAGTTCCACCGTTTCTTTCCATTTCATCTCTACTGAGCGTGGCCTGCACTAGCAAAACATTTATGATTCAAATCTGGTCCAGATTTTTCTATACTCATTTCAAAAGTATAATCCAGTAGATTAATTCCTAATTGAGTGAGTGGCTGTCAAGGTGGGTCCAAAGCAAGCTGAGGCAGGTAGTGCGTGGGTGGAAGTGAACGACAAAGTAAAATGCAATGTTAGAATACAGTTTTGCAAGTTGTACACAGAAAAACAGGCCATGACTTTCAAAAATCTGTGCACGTAAAATGCACATCATGGCTCTTTGATCGCAAGCACTCGTTCATTCAGTGAGACTGCAATGTAAAATGTATACATGTTTTTTTAACGTTTGGAATATTAGCATAAAATATACAACATAACTCACAGAAAAAGAGCAATGGGAGAATGATAAACTATGAAAAGTGCTTTGCAGAATAAAGCAACACGTGTACAAATGTGCTGTAAATTACAAAAAGAACAAGTGCAAAACTAAAGTACAGTCTGTAAAAGATCACAAACATAAAAGACTTAAAACTATAAATATGATCTGGTTGAAATGTCAACAAGTACAACTAAACCTTAAAGCAGTTTTTCACATTGTTGAGTATTAAAGTCCTGATTCAAAGACGCCGGCTATTGAAAAGTTTGGGTGCAGCCATGGTTTAATTTTTAGTTTAGTTTATTTAGATATAATATATTGTTATTATTGTCTTTTTTAAGATTACTGTACCTGTTTTTGTATGAAACTATAGTGCATAAACCGTAACTGTTCATAAATGTACTGTTTTGTGTTTTCTAAGGTGTGTCATGACCTTCTGGATTATCCAGGGTGAGACTGACTTCTGCATGTCCAAATGGGAGGAGATCATCTACAACATGGTTGTGGGTATCATCTACATTTTCTGCTGGTTCAACGTCAAAGAGGGTCCCAGCCGCTTCCGCATGACACTCTACTACTCTGTGACACTGGTTGAGAACGTGGCGCTGATTACAGCCTGGTACATCTATCGTGGCCCACAAACCAATGACTCCTCTGCTCTGGTGGTGGTGTGCCTTGTAGCCTGCAGCTTTGCCCTTGGGACCTTTTTTATGTTGGTGTACTACTGCTGGCTGCATCCAGACGGGCCTGTTCTAGGCTCCCAGTGGGGAGGATGTGTAGATGAGGGTGTGGTGAGCGCAGCAGGCGTAGTGGGAGTGATTGACGCTTGTCTTACTCCATCTGAAGGGTCCCAAACAGACATGGTAATTACCAGTCCTCCAAGGACACTGCCTAGGACTAAAGACACAGGGGAGACAGGTTCTGGAGACAGGGACAGCTGCCTGCCCATCTTCCAGGTTCGCCCTTCCCCTTCATCCTCCCCTGCCCACCTTCACAGGACATCCTCATGTCGTGCGCAGGAAGGTCCTGTAATCAGAATTGACCTGCCGAGAAAGCGATACCCAGCCTGGGATGCACACTTCATTGATCGCCGCCTACGGAAGACCATCTTGCTCCTGGAGACCACATCAGCTGTCAGCCCCCGGATACTGTACAGGAGTAGCCTGATGGGCAGCAAGGAGGTTTTAGAATATGAGACGACTGTTTGAGCCAGCAGTGGCTCTCAAACTTCAAACTGCAGTCTGGGACCAAGGTTCAGACTAGAATCAGTCCTCGCCCAAGGACTACCTCTACTGAGGGTAACAGGAAAAGAAAACATTGCTGGTCAACTCTTTTAGAGAAAAGAAGCTGTCAAATGTGATTGTAAAATGTGAAGTGCAATCTGGGACCAAAGTTGAGGAACAAGTAGCAAGACTGAGTCCATGAATTCAGATCCCAGAGACACATCAGAGACTTAAGGAATGTTGAAACACTAGATGCTAGAAGGAGTTGGAGACATGCAATCATTTTAAATTGGGCCAAAAAAAAAAAAAAAAAAATTCATGATATTATCATCTATTATATCAGCAAAAGGCCATCCATAAAATTCTCATTGTAAAACAATCTTTGTCCATTATAACTACACACCGTTTTCTTCAAAATCACAATGAAATTAACTTGGTATGCTTTATATTTTAAAAGAAAAGATGACTTTGAAGAAAACATCCATCCATCCATCATATTTACCCGCTTCTTCCTTTTCGGGTCGCGGGGGTTCACTGGTGCCCATGTCCAGCAGTCACTGTGCGAGAGGCAGGGGACACCCTGGACAGGTCTCAAGTCCATCACAGGATTTAAAGAAAACAGTTTAGAAATTATTTTGTTTGGGTTGTAAGGAAATCAAGATAATCGTTTTCTTCTTTTCATCCGATCAAGTCATGTGAAAAATGTTCCCTGTCCTAGCAAGAAGTCGTTTACATTATCTGTGAGTAGTGTCCAAAGGGACAGAAAGTTCTGTACACTTAGCTCTGGTTTTGATCAACAGTGCGAGTCCATCTGCTAAAGGAATGCAACACGTAACAATGACTTATGTGTCACAATGGCAGCCATATCACAAGTCTCAGTGTTTACATCCCTGCTGCACCTCAGCTTGTAAAATGACATGTTCAGAAATCTGTTAGTACTTCAGGTCAGGATGTGAGAGACGTCTGCAGTTTCTACCACAACATGGCACGCTCTAACTCACCACAAACAGGCCCGAGATGTGCAAAGAAATAATAAATACAGATGTCAGCTGCTGTATAAGCTTGTATAATAAGTTGTAGTTGGATAATGGATGCTCTTTCAGAAGCGAAGCTTCATTTAATCCTACGAGTCTAAATGTAATCCAGGGTGGTCTGCATTTTTCTGAGTTCAGAACATTTAAGATATGAAGGAAACTAGGGATGCACGATTTTGGATTTTAGTCCGATATCTGATATGCTGATATGTTAAAACTTATTTGGCCGATAACGACACCAATACCAATACTTTTTTTCCTTAGACCTACTTACAGAGACTACAGTACATAGCTTTATCTGCTGTGGAATTAAAATACTACATTTCTCTGCATGGTCTTTGTCAGTTTGGCCTGCTAACAAATACAGAAGGCAAAAAGGGGCTGAAAATGATGCAACACTTCAACTTGGATTATGTTTAATGTCAAATTTATTAATGACAATCTCTCTAACACAATGACAACACTCGAACAGTGCAAATTTGTAAATTTTCACAACTCTAAACTCAACGGTGCGAGTGACGTCATAACGTTGTGCTGGCTCTGCAGGCATCCTTGTCCCTGGGTTGTCTTACAAAAACAGCACCTTTTATATCGTCAATTTATTTTGATGGAATGTCCAATATTTAACTTTATCGCTAATATCGGCCGATACCGATACCACGCCAATAATATCGTGCATCCTTAAAGGAAATCATAACAAAATGATACGATGAACACGTTTTTCAGGGTTTGACTTTAAGAGGAGAAAGTAAAGCTGTGAATAAAACAAACCATCTGCTCCAACGCAAACTGCTGAAGACTCAGCATTAAGCAGTTTGGCTGCCTGGTTAGTTGCAGTAGTTTGTGTCTTTTGTAAGAAAAATACCAGAAATAAGTCTTTGAAGCTTTCTGATAGGTGTTTCCTACATCTGACAGAGAAATCATATTAAAATCCTATTTAGACCACAGTTAGGATGTTATAAATGGATGTAAAACTGAATCACTAACATTAAAGAAGTGCCTTCAAAAGCAACAATAATGATCAGTCAGAGCTGGTTCAAATACTATCCTGCACACCTCCATAGTTTTCTACTGGACTATGATGGGTAGCATAGACACCTCATCAATGGAGCAGCTGTACCAGTACAATTCATGGGTGCAAACTTCTGTTTTTTTTCCGACTTTATTTTTAATTTGAAAACAACAGTTCAGCTGGCAGCTTCCACCACCAGTCACTTTGTTGCTAATCCAACCAGACAGCATTTTGTTGTCGTGGAGATGAGAAACAAAACCAAAACGTTGAGGGGAGTTATCTCTGTCCATGCATCAGGCAGAAATAATGAAAAACACACAAACCTTGTGGAATATGAAGCTAGAAAGGATGATTTCCACAAGTTCATAAAAATGTTGCTGCTCAGAGCACATGCAGGTGTGTGACACCCAGTGCAAACATTTTTGGCTTAAACTGGACTGAAGTGAGACGATTGTAAATGTCAGGTTTGAAATGAGCATTTAGCCAGTGTTGATTAAAAAAATAACAATCCAAAGCAGTTTTAGGCAAAAAACAAACTTGTGTCGTCTGCATAACATGTTGTATTACAACAAACAGCAACATGCAGAGTTCATGAACTTGTTTTTTTTTTTTTTTTTTACCATTTTGCGCTTTATTTGACATAATCAGGCACCCATGAGGAGAGTTGCAGCCAAAAAATATTTTAATTGGCAAAATTTTGAAAAGAACAAACCGGAGGTCTTATAGTTAACATTTGTGTTTTGATTTCCACTCATTTTCAACAGTAACTGTAAATATATGAAGATAACGTGAAAAGAAAAAGAAACACAAAGAGAAAAGAGGTTGTCTTTAGTTTGTAGAGGACACTTCATCCCCAACAGCTGAGCCGAACCAGGCTGTGGTTATCTGAAAAAGTTTTCACCAACAACAACAAAAGGGTCAAATATAATCTTAGAGTTCGTTCACTGATTGAAAGAGGAGCCTCTGTTGGATTTCAAATCCACTCCCAGCCATGTTTACACTTTATGGAGGTGAAAAATACTGCCACGATAAATTATGTGCAGTCCACTATAATATATACATTTTAGAGGACATTAAATCAGTTGGATCAATTAAATTAAATCAAATATTAGATAAACAGCTGAATTCTGACCAGAGTAATGAGTTCACAACTAATACAAAGGAAAGTGAGACAAGTGTATTGCTGCATGTTAAATCAGCTCTAATGCAAACACTTTTATACATTTTGCATCACTGTCATTGCATTTGCATTACATAGTTATTCTGGCAAAAAAAAATATGATGTGCCCCAGGCTGCAGAAGTTCTACACCAAGTCACTGATGGTGTTTGTGTTGCGAACAATGTTTTTTAGTAAAACCAAAAAACTACTGATGTTCACTTGTATGAACAGCTTTGAAACTTTGGAGACTGGATCTTGTTTGAGTTGAAAACACTACGTGTGTATTGCTTTCAGTTTTACTGGCTGCGACGGCTGGAAACTTGTTGGAGGCTCAAATCTTTGAGACTTTTGTGTGAAGTTAGCAAAATTTCCATTCCAGTGAGTACACTGTGCCAATTTTTAAGTCATTGTCTTTTTTTGGTATTCATAGCTTGATGTTGGTGTAAATTCTCAGTCATCCAGATAAGGATGGGCAAGATATTATTGTTTACACAAAGTTGTAAAAACATAATTTTTTTAATGGGATTTTTTTGTCCCCTGTGATAAAACAATTGCCAATAATATAATGTTTTATTTTTGTGATGCACCAGCCTGGCCCACTCTCCAAAATGAACAACTGGATACCAAACAGCTGCTGCCTTGAGTCACGTTTTCTTCTTTTTTAAAAAACTGATGAGCAAATGGGAACAAACGTCTTGAATGGTGTAAAATAATTTCAGTGAGGTTTAAATGAGAGGCAGTGGGTGTGCCTGATGGCAGACAGTGGAGCAAACAGTCGAGCAGTCGTCTGAAGAAGTGACAAACACCGCATGCTTCACAAGTTGCCTTCATGTTGCTTTCAGGGAGCTTGCTCTTTTCTTTTTAAGTTTTTGGATCTTATGCCTCCGCCTTGAACAGTTTCATTATCAACATCTTTAATGTTATTACTTCCTTTGTTTCAGTTATATTTGTTGACCATGCATTTTATTTAACTCTGCCTGTTTGCTCTGTGCATGGCAGACCCTTTTAACATCAATTCAAATCACACTTCTATCTCGGTTTACAACTTCAGATATCAAAAATAGCATTTATTCTAGTGCTTAGAATTTAAATGTGATATCCACACAATTGTATAACTATTACATTTAGGATATCTAGCATTCCAAGTGTACGAACTCTGCACTCCCTGTATTTCTCACCAAGATCATACCCACATTATGTCACTTAGTACACAATTATATTTGTTTCAGACTCGTATGTTGCAACTTTGTACCCACCTTGGGAGCTGCCTCAACTTGGATGGTTTATTCTATACCAGTACACTTTTAAAATGAAGATAACCTGATTTGGATCCATCCATCCATTATATTTACTCCCTTATTCCTTTTTCGGGTCGTGGAGGCACTGTTGACCATATTCAGCAGTCACTGTGTGAGAGTTGAGGGACACCTTGGACAGGTCTCCAGTCCATCACAGAGACTGCAAAGATAAATGTTTAATGTTAACTAATACATATCACCATAACTAGTGTTTATCATAACTATTTGTTACAATGATAAGCACATTATGGTTGGGTTCTATAATAATATTAATCGTGAAATTAAGTACAGTTTGATCCATTGAGCTCATGCCTGTGCACAAATAGGCTCATGCAAATTTGTATGCATGTGAGGAAATGTGCATTTGTTAAGTGCAGGAGTGGGACATAGCAGTCATTTTGTACCCAAAGGGTATGAAACATCAATTACTGGGTACAAAGTAGGGGTTTGAGTGAATTAACCAAATCTCTCTTTGCATTGTTTTGATTTATTTGAGGAAGTAACCAACAACATAAATCTGACTTTCATTTAAAAATCTGCAATGCAAAACAAAACACAACAACTTTTCTGCACAATATACTCGGTTTAAATTGACCACAAAGTGGGGTTTTTTTTTTGTTTGTTTTTTTGTAAAGGGGGTCAGAGTGTTTGAGGAAAAAAGAAGTGAAGCGATGTGATGTTGCTCCCCTCTAAAGACTGTTTATCAGGTAGATCATCGACTAGAACCTGGAATTTGAAGACAAACCAGTGCTAGCTTCCCTGATGGTTGGTTCCAATACAAGTTTAAGTCCCACCCCTACCATGTCAATGCATGTCAATGCATACCTCTATTTTTTTAGATTATGTGTCTTGTTAATTTATTTGACTTTTATTTAACCAGGTTAGTCAGCTGAGAACAAAT